ACACCCCCGGCTCATACCTGCTGTCCACAAGGCTCCCATGTGGCCGCCATCTTTCTTTCCAGAGGGAGGAGGGTGGAAGGGAGCAACACCCTTTCCCCTCTGGGCAGAAATGATTGCCTGGATTAACGCATAGTCCTTTCACTTTTCTGCTCCAAGCTGCTGGGTTCTGCATTAGGTCGTTGTGCTTCTGGGGCTGTGGCCGTGCTGGAGAGCCGCTCGTGGGGGCAACTGGTGGCCTCGGTAGGGCGTGAAGGGCGGAGCGAAACGCCCCCCGACCCATGAGGTTTTAGTCGCCCCCACTCCCCCGGCTCATACCTGCTGTCCACAAGGCTCCCATGTGGCCGCCATCTTTCTTTCCAGAGAGGAGAGGGCGAATGGGGCAACACCCTTTCCCCTCCGGCAGACTTGATGGCCTGGATCAATGCATAGTCCGTTCACTTTTCTGCTCCAAGCTGCTGGGTTCTGCATTAAGTCCTTGTGCTTCTGGGGCCGTGGCTGTGCTGGAGAGCCGCTCGTGGGGGGCAACTGGTGACCTCGGTAGGGCGTGAAGGACGGACCAGAACGCCCCCCTTCCCATGAGGTTTTAGTCGCCCCCACACTCCCGGCTCATACCTGCTGTCCACAAGGCTCCCATGTGGCCGCCATCTTTCTTTCCAGAGAGGAGAGGGCGAAAAATTTGCATAAAATATCTTGTCTAGGGGCTTCATGTTATAAACTAAGTCTTTGTAGCTTAAATATTTCATATTTGGGTATTTGTACCTTTTGATTCTCTTCATTCTTTGGTTTTCAAACTTTTGTTAGCATTCGGTACTGCTTTTTTTTTTTTTTTTGTCTTTTTGAGTCACACCTGGGAGCGCAGGGATTACTCCTGGCTCTGCACTCAGGAATTATTCCTGGTGGTGCTCAGGGGACCATATGGGATGCCGGGGATCGATCCCAGGTCAGTCACATGCAAGGCAAAAACGCCTTCCCCGCTATACTATACTCCGACCCAGTATTGCCTTATAAAGCATATCTTTTTAAGAGAAAAAAATTTTTCCACATTATTTTCATTTCTTTGAATGTTATGAAAGTTGAATTGTTATTAAAGTACAATAGTTTTCCTTTTGATTGATTTAGCCCTGGGTTAAGAATTATATATAATTCCAGGGGTATAATTTTATATACCCCTTTCAATATGTCCAATCCTTACTATATCCATTGCCAAAGTTCTAGTCCTTCTACAGAAATGAGCCCTATACTTCTTCCCATCCCTCCTCTCCCCATTTCCCTCTGGTACCTATCATAGTTTTTAAAAAGTCTAGGAGTTAGTTTTTGCTGTTTTTCTTTTTTCCGGCTCATTTGCTTTAGTAACTAATATTAAATATATTAGTAAAACCATTTGATAATAACTTTCTTTTCCCTACTTTTTTTAGTATAATCACCTCAGACTCTAACCATTTTGTCCCCAAAGACATGAATAAAGAAACTATGGCTATATATGCTCAGTGGAATAGTACTCTGATAGGATAAAATTGTACCATTTGGGGCACGCTTTTTTTTTTTTTAATCTTGGGCACACCCAACAATATTCAGGGTTACTCCTGGCTCTGTACTCGGAAATTACTCCTCATGATGCTCGAGAGACCCTAATGGGATGCTGGTGATTGAACCTCCATATTGGCTATGGGCAAGGCAAATGTCATACCTGTTGTATTCTCTTCACTCAATATTTTAATTTTTAAAGCGCATTAATTCACTTACTTGGAATGTGTTTTATTTTGTTCATTTCACATTTTTGAAGTCACCTGAATATATTTTGAATCTAGGAGAAGATAATTAAGTGAAATCATTTGACCTCTGCTCAAAAACATTAAATGTGTTTTAGAAAATGTTTCTATAAGCTGTTGTTAATATTTCACAAAATCACCCTATATTTGACTGAAGTTAAGATAGGCTCTAATTTTTAAGAAGAAGGAGTTAAATTTAAGAGATGAAAACTTTCTGAGAGGGAGAAAGCTAATGTCCACAGGGCATTTTATTCTGAAAACAGGATACTTGTGATACAATGATATCTTCCTTCTTTGTCTGTGATTAAAAAGGCTGAAGAGAGTTTGGAGGAGATGTATTTGTTTTTATGTTAGAGCCAGAGATTTATTTCTTAGATTAGGAAAGTTGGTGCTTTGATATCCAAAGAAGAAATAAACTCATAAAATATAGAAATATGGCAACATGCCTTTCACTGTGATTAATCATTTTTTGCATGGGTTTAAATAAGTTACATCTAGATACAGCAACAATGGAAAACAACTGATGATTTTTGAATAGGGTTTTTTATTTGTATCAATGTCTGGTGTCTGTTTTTCTTTTCAATGATTTATAGTGGTATACTTATGGTAATCAGTATTGCCAGTTTTTAAGATTGATATTGATAGTTTAATTAAAATGTCTTAAAAATTTAAAGAGGCTCTTGGATTCCTGAATGTATATGATGTATGTGATGTAGATCTGATCACAATCAATCAATCACAACCATCCTGTTATTCGTCAATTGCCTCAAGCAGGCCCCAGTAACGTCTCCTTCATCCTAGCCCTGAGATTTTTTTAAAAAAAAGTGCCATATTCAAGGCTCTTTCAGAGCCAGGAGAATGAGACCCTTCATTGTTACTGGTATTTGGCATATTGGGTACGTCATGGGGAGTTGGCCAGACTCTGCCGTGTGGGCAGGTTACATTCGGTAGTCTGCCAGTTTTTCCAAAGTAGGACTGAGATGATATTTACGGCCGCATGCTTCTGGGAGCTGAGTTTTATAGTCTCTGAGTCTTGGCCGTTGATGGGATTACACGGTGCCAGGGGGCCAGTTGGTGGGTGTGACCCCCGCCTACTGGAATTTGGAGGATCTGGGTGGAGGATGCTCAGCCCTGATCCGATCTGAGGTGGCTTGGAGATCTGACAAGAAACTGAAAAAGCCAGGACAACTGGGACAGATTATTTTTCCCTCTCGCTGTGCTTATCTATTCTCTTCCAGGTATGAAGGAAAAATTCTATTTGCATGAATGATTAGACTAAGTTTGCATATTTGAATATTCTTTAGACCAGATATCAATGGGAAAATAAATGTGATGGGAAGGGGACAGAAACACAAAGGGTTGGGAGAGACTAGCAGAAAAGGTTGTATTGGGCATGACAGCTCCATGGTAAGTGCCTTCCATAAAGGAGTAATAGCATGAGCATCTGGCATATATCTTCCTGATCTAAAGGCACATGATACTCCATGAGAGTCAGCAAGTGCTAATCTATTCAGGTGAAGAAAAACTTCACAAGAGCAATTTGCTTAGATAAGAGAAAGCAGGAAGAACTCAGAGAGTGGGGATCAAAAGGGAGAATGAACTGTGAAATGTAACCAGGAGCCAGATATAGAAGAAGTAAGGTAAAGGTAAAGGTAAAGGCCCTCCCGTTGATCATCGATTTGCTCGAGCGGGCCCAGTAACGTCTCCATTGGAGACTTTGTTGTTACTGTGTCTGGCATATCGAATACTCTCGGTAGCTTGCCAGGCTCTCCGATAGAAGTAGTAGAGCTAAAATCTAGGAGACACTTAATGAAGAAGTTCAGGTGATGGATGGTACTTTTGGATAAAAAATGTTGAAACGCCTACATAAATGAGATAAAGAAAAAAAGGGTAATGTCCTTCAATATGTGCTTAGCAAATGATTTAGTTATGATTGTGGGAATCCGAAGGGGGAAATTGTGGAGACAGAATTTATGGTGAGGGAGTAGACATCTTGTTCTTGCAATTTACCTCAACTATACGTAATATATTTCTCTGGGTCTTGCTGTATGTCATAAATAAAAGTTAGATACTTGTTCAACTTTAGGAATCTTGGTTGTTGCATGAGGAAGGCAACATTTGAGAAAAGCATGAATTCTGAAGTCTGGAGAACTTGGATCTAAATCAGAGTCCTGCCCTTATTACCTTCATAAACAGTCAATTTTCTTCACTCTTACCTTTCTTCTTCATTTGTAACAGAGACAGGGCTATGTGCCTCCCAGCACTATTAATTAATTTAATAACTTTTGTATCTGATGCATATTAGTACCCAATCAAAGGAGGTTGTATAAATCTTTAAGACAGCAGCCATGGGACAGACATAGAAAGATTGCACTCATCTGTGGAATATAAAGTAAGAGAATTGGGAAACCAACACCCAAGAATAGCAGAGATAAGAACCAGGAGGTTTGCTCCATGGCTTGGAAGCTGGCCTCACATGCTGGTGGAAGAGGCAGCTCAGATAGAGATGGGAACACCAAGTAAAGGGTGTTTGGAGGGCCCACTCGGAATGGGAGGTGTGTGCCAAAAGGAGACTATAGACTGAACATGATGGCCATTCAATACTTGCATTGCAGACCACAACACTCTAAAGGAGAGAGAGAGAGTAAAAGGGAATGCACCTGCCATGGGTGGTGGGGGGGGAAGAATGTGGGGATGGGAGGGACACTGGGAACATTGGTAGTGGAGAATGGGCACTGGTGGAGGGATAGGTACTTGATAATTGTATGACTGAAACATAAGCACGAAAGTTTGTAAGTCTACAACAGTACCTCATGGTGATTCATTAAAAAATGAAAAAAAAAGACAGCAGCCACTTTGTAACAGTAGGAGATAAGGAAAATAATGAATACATTCTCTCTAACAATGACCACCATGAGAAAATTCATCAGTTGACTAAGGATGCAAGACAGGTAGGAAGACACAGAAGAAATGGTTGGTCAAGTCAAGGGAGTTGTTATTGTGCTATTTGGGAGAAAAAAAGCTATCCTAGGAAGTTATTAAAAAGTAATCTCTTATTTCTTCTGAGTTCCTGTCAATAGACAAGCAACCATAAGGGATGGTGGCAGTTGAAACCTGTATTTTCAAATATGCACACAAAAAAGTCTCCCTTGCTTAAACTCAAGGTAGAGGTAGATGCCACGGGTGATTTAAGTCTCTGGAAGTTTGGAGAACTAGGCTTTCAGTGACAAACTAAGAGAACACTTTCTTCTTCTCTAGCACCTTCCGTAAGGCATCTTTGATCTCTTTGTTCCTCAAACTGTAAATAAGAGGGTTCAACATGGGGATCACCAGTGAATAGAATACAGAGACCACTTTGTCCCTGCCAAAAGAGTAGCTGGAGCTGGGTCTCAGGTACATGAAAAGGGCTGTCCCAAACAAGAGTGTCACCACCATCAGGTGGGAGGCACATGTGTTGAAGGCTTTCCTTCGGCCCTCCACTGAGCGGATCTTCAAGACAGCAGACACAATGTAAGTGTAGGAGACAAGGAGGATGACAAATGAGGTCCCTCCAACAATGACCACCACGAGAAAGTTCACCACCTGACTGACGAAGATGTCAGAGCAAGCCAGTGCCAGGACTGGAGGGAGGTCACAGAAGAAATGGTTGATGATGTTGGGTCCACAGAAGTCAAGTCGAAATATGGAGCTGGCCTGGATCAGGGAACTTAAGAAACCACCAACATATGCCCCAACCACCATGCGTGTACAGAGGCCTGGGGACATGATGACAGTGTAGAGCAGGGGGCTGGAGATGGCGGCATAGCGGTCATATGCCATAGCAGTGAGCAGGAAGCACTCAGTGAGACCCATGCCGACAAAGAAGAAGAACTGAGCAGCACAGCCCAAGAATGAGATAGTCTTCTGCTTCTGGAAGAAGTCCGTAAGCATCTTGGGTGCCACGGTAGAAGAGTAACAGATGTCAATAAAGGACAAGTTGCTGAGGAAAAAGTACATGGGTGTGTGCAGACGAGTGTCGCCTCTGATCAGAAAGATGAGGGCCAGGTTCCAGGCCACAGTCACCAGATAGATGCTGAGAAAGGTCACAAAGAGGATGATCTGGATTTCTGGGTGGTCTGCAAATCCCAAGAGGATAAACATGGTTACTGAGGAGCTGTTTCGGGCCTTCTCTGTGGACATGTTCCTCATGAACCACAAGGACAAGATGCAGACCTGGAATGATAACAGTAACACACATTAGAGGAGGTGCCTGAAAGGAGGGCGGAGTATTATTATGGGGTACAGCTGTTTGCAAAGATCCCCTCTTGTCCTCTCAGAGGCAAGTGGAGCCACTGTTGTATTATCATTATTATTTATTTTATTTATTTATGTATTTATTTTTTTGCTTTTTGGATCACACCCAGTGATGCACAGGCATTATTTCTGGCTCTGCACTCAGGAATTACTCCCGGAGATACTCAGGGGACCATATGAGATATTGGGAATCGAACCTCAGTCAGTCACGTGCAAGGCAAACATCCTACCCGCTGTGCTATCACTCCAGCCCCTGTTATTATTTATTTTTGGGCCACAACTGGTGGTGCTCAGGGCTGATTCCTGGCTCTGCCAGGGATCACTCTTGGAGGATCATATAAGTTGTCAGAGTTTGAACCCCAGTTGGCCATGTGCAAGGCACGTGTCCTACCCTCTGTACTCTGTACAGCCCCAGAGCAATTCTTTTAAATGCATGTTTTATTTAATGTGATTATAATATAGTTGATTTGAGCTTATATTTTGAATTTAGACTCTTTGTGGCCAACACTTCCTTTATCACTTACTATCTATGTCACTGTGGGCCTGGTATCTAACAATTCTGGGCTTTCATTTCCTTAACTTTATTTTTTAATTTATTTTTGTCTGGTTTTTTTGGTCACACCTGGCTATACTCCTGGCTCTGAACTCTGAACTCCTACCCAAGCATACTACCTACTGTACTATCTCTCTGATCCAATTCCGTTCTTTTTAAAAGTCTGGCAAGACTCACATCACATATTTGTTTAAAGAATTTAGTTTATAAATTTCCTGACACACAAGAAGTCCCAAGTGAAAATTATCTCCAGAATAGTTTTGTGTGTTTCAGGTGAGCATATCATGTCCTGAGTTAACTATTTGTCTAAACTCTTTCAAGTTTTAATACTACAGTGGAGAAACCAAATAGAGGAATAAGGTTCAGTTATGCAGGTGTGAAAGAATCAGTAAGATAATTTTCAAGATATGTCGTCAATCTAAAGTATTAGATCAGAAGTTGCCGCCCATGAACAGCTTCTCTGCTCCTGAGTGGCCGTGATCCCAGAGGCACACAAACCAATCTCGGAGCCCAGCAGTTTCTGGCAGAAATGCTTCTGGACTGTGAACTAAGCTACGGTCCTGTGCTGCCTCGGGAGGGAAAAGGTGCTTGTCCCTCCTCTTTTTCCCCCTTGGCGGCAGCATGGTGACCACCATCTTTTAGAGCCTATTGGACAGAGTTATGAGCTTGCAGTGATGGGGTGCATGGGGCCTCTTGGGATGGGGAGGCAGAACCAGCCTTTCCCTCCACCTGGACGAAACCCTGAGTTGCCACCCATGAATGGCTCCTCTGCTCCTGAATGGCCATGATCCCAGAGTCACACAACCAATCTTGGAACCCAGCATCTTCTGGAAGAAATTCCTCTGGACTTAATTACTAAAATACCAGAAGTCCAAAAGCACATGGCCACAACATCAAGTGCTCCTCATTATCAGCAATAGAAATCAAATTATCTAATGATGCCTTTTCATCAAATCTGATTGTTGGGGAAAAATTCCAAATAATAATAGTGGGTCTTCTGTTCAAAAATTAAATGTAATCAAAGTAAAGAGAGAGTAAAGTGAAAATCATCTTCCATACAGGCAGGGGGAAGGGTGAGATGGGGGGTCTACTAGGGTTCTTGGTGGTGGAACATGTGCACTGGTGAAGGGATGGGTGTTTGATCATTGTATGACCAAGTCTTAAATCTGAAAGCTTTGTAACTGTTCTCACGGTGATCCAATTAAAAGAAAAGAAAAGAAAAGAAAAGGTTTCTCCATAAAAAAGTGTTAGATCACATGTGCATAGAAGGGCTAGCTGCCAACTATTCAGTCTGAATATACTAATGTAGTTCTAATCTCACATTTATCTTCAGTTCTAGCTCTCTAAGCTATTTAATTTTTAGGCACTGGATTTAGACTTCTTGGATTTAATTTGCTGCTTAATTTTCAAAAATCTGGGCAATGAATTTAGACTGCTTGGACTAAATTTGGGCTGGAGCAATAGCACAGCGGGTAGGGCATTTGCCTGGCACGTGCTGACCCGAGTTCAATTCCTCCACCCTTCTCAGAGAGTCCAGCAAGCTACTGAGAGTATCTCACCCGCACGGCAAAGACTGGCAAGCTACCCATGACGTATTTGATATGCCAAAAACAGTAACAGCAAGTCTCACAATCTGTTGTCAGACGTTACTGGTGTTGATGAACAATAGGAGGGCAGTGCAGTGCAGTGCAGTGCAGGATTAAATTTGGACTAAATTTCCAGCATTAGTTAAAAGATCTATGATCCTGGATGAGTGACTTGAATTCTATATGTTTCTCTGTAAAAGCAGAGATAGTAATAATACTTAACTGATCTCTATTCCTATCACCTATTTTCTTTCTCTCCTCTCATCTAGAGCCTTCATCTCTAATCTCTTTTAGAAATTCTTTTTTTTTAAAAAAATTTTTATTAGTGAAACACCATGAGTTACAGTTGTAGACTTACAAATTTTTGTGCTTCGGTTTCAGTTATACAATGATCGAGTGCCCATCCCTCCACCAGTGCACATTCTCCACCACCAATGATCCCAGTATCCTTCCCACTCCCCCATCCCTCCATCCCACCCCGCCTCTATGGCAGGACACTCCCTTTTGTTCTCTCTCGGAATTCTTGGTTTTCAGTAATTACTCTGTAAGTGTTCATTGCCCTTTAAGTCAAAACTACAAAGTATCCTCAATCAAATAATTAGAATTTTTAGTGTTTGAAACAATTGTCAAGATCAAGGACTAGATTCCATCCAATCTATATCGCTATGATTTTATTTTTAGACTTCCCCCTTTATACACATGTCAGTGTGCATGTGTGCATGTGTGTGTGTGTATGTGTATGTGTGTGTGTGTGAGTGTGTGTGTGTGTGTGTCTAGGGGTCAGGTCACACCCAGCTGTGCTCATGGCTTACTCCTGACTTTGAACTCAGAGATAATTCCTGGCTGGATCTGGAACACTGCATGCAGTGCCTGTGATTGAACCAGGATTGACCATGTGCAAAGCAAATACCTTATCACCAATGCTACCCTCTGGTCCAATAGAGAAATTTCTAACACCTCTTCCATCCTCTACATTGTCTCCAATCTACATAAATCAGAACATAGCCTATGGTGCTAGCAAGGTTTTGAAGCTGAGGTTTTTAAAGATAAAGAAGTCACCAGAATAAGTGAAGTCAGAGGATTGGTGGCTTACATTGAATGATTTTAGAAGCTACGGTATATAAGCATCATACCCAGGAGTGTTCAGAATTTTCTCCTGACTATATCTAGGAAATCACTTATTCTCTTTCTTTTCTTTTTTAAAAAAATTTTAATCACCCTGAGATACAGTTACAAAGCTTTCATGGTTGAGTTTCAGTTGTGCAATGATCAAACATCCATCCCTCCACCAGTGCACATTTTCTACCACCAAGGTCCCTAGTATCCCTCCCGCCATCCCCACCCCATCCTACCTCCTGCTTCTGTGGCAATCACCTTCCTTCTTACTCTTGCTCTACTTTTGGGCAGCAGGGATCACTTCTGATCACGGTAAGGACCCATATGCGGTGCCAAGAATTGAACCAGAATCAACCACCTGCAAGGCAGGAGTCTTAAACTCGGTACTGTCTCTCTGGTCCTGGAGCAGATTTTGATTCCTCTTCATTTCTTAACTCAAACAGTTTAGAAATCAATGAAATTACATTAGATACTTTCAATGCTATATACCTCTCGATATACAGTGAATCTCATAAATTTTATATTTTCAAGTAAGTAAGCTATTTTGTTAACTTTTCAGTTTTGATTTTGGGGTTACATCCAGTGATGTTCAGGGGTTATTCCTGGCTCTGAACTCAGGGATCATTCCTGGAAGTCTTGGGGGATCATATTGGGTGCTGGGGATCAAACTTGGGTTGGCCATGTGAAATGCTCTATACCCTCTGTACTATTGCTCTGGGGTCTCTATTTTTCTAATTTAAAAGAAAACCATGTGAAAAAATGGGCCAGAGCGGTAGTACAGTGATAAGTTGCTTGCTCTGCACACAGCTGACCTAGGTTCAATACTGGCACCACATATGGTCTCCCAAGCTCTACCAGGAGTGATCCCTGAGTCCAGAGCCAGGAGAAAGCCCTGAACACTGCCAGCCCCCAAACAAAAACACACAAAAAATAAAAAAATTGAGAACTTAAAGTGATTCAATCAATATATAATTGTGAAATACTCAACTCTAAAATCATGTGCAATTCCTGATCAATTTGAATAAAACTTTGAAAATGAAAAATATGAAATTTTATTTTATGGAATAGCAGCTCTTAACATTTTGGTGTATGCTTTTTATATGTATGTTAGTGTATACATGTGTGAGTGTTTGTATTATAGTACAAAAATCCTCTATAACTAAAACAAATAATTTAAGTTATACCAAATCATTAACTTCACAGATTGGGAATTAGTAATAACTCAAAGTCTTTTGAGGGGAGGGTTTTTGGTTCACGGTTCATTCAGCTGTTCTCAGGAGTTGTTCTCGGCTCTGTACCCAGGAGTGATTCCTCACGATGCTTGGTGGAGCATAAGTGGGTCTGGGGATTTGAACCAGAGTTGCCTCATGCAAGATAAGGGCTTACTTTCTGTATTATCTCTTTGGCCCCACCATTTCTCAAATTACCCTAAAAGATTCTTGCTCAATTTATAAGACCTTTTTCGTTTCAATATCATCAGTTTGTCATAAGTTAATTCATAAATGTCTGTAGTCAAGATCTCACTAAGCATCTTAACTTTCTTCTTGGAACTTGCACAGAGATACCCTTGAAATGAGGCTCTCCACTTCTTAGCTCCGGCTTAGCTTAGCTCTGAGCCCTCCAAATTTGAA